GAAACTAAACTGAGAGCAATAGACGATGTTTTGGCGAGATACCTGGGAGGATATAAATTGGATAGTTATGCCATCAAGCCGGCGAGGGGAACTCGAGGGGGGATCCTCCTACTTTGGAACTCCAACTCGATCAACATCACAGAAGTGAGGCTGCGTCGCTACTCGATGACGGCAAAAGTCAGCCTCCTTCATACGGCGGACAGCTTCACCATTTCCGCGGTCTACGGGCCAACGAGACATAGAGAAAAAGAGATTTTCCTTCGGCAAATCAGACGCTTAAAGCCGGCTAACAACGAACCTTGGCTCCTATTTGGTGACTTCAACATGATCTACAGGGCATGTGACAAGAGCAACAGCAATATTAACTTAAGGCGTATGAGGCGGTTCCGCGCAGCCATTAATCATTGTGAGTTGAAGGAAATCCATCTCCAAAATAGAAAATTCACCTGGACCAATGAGAGACGCCATCCAACCATGGTCAGACTAGACAGATTCTTCTGTAACGAGAATTGGGACCTCGCCTTTGGTCACCACATCCTTCATACTCTCTCTTCGGGAACATCGGATCACTGCCCACTGCTTCTCTCAAACCCCCAAGGGCCGCAACGCCCAAGGACCTTCAAATTTGAAAACTTCTGGACAAAGCTTCCGGGATTCAGGACTGAGGTTCAATTGGCTTGGGAACGAACATCGACGCATCATGAGCCTCTCCACCGTCTGGCAGACAAACTGAGTCACACTGCCCTGGCCCTAAAGAAATGGGCACGAGGAATCTGCTCAGAAGTTAAACTCAAGTTCCACTTGGCATTGGATGTGATTCAACGCCTAGACGTGGCTCAGGAAAATAGAGATCTCACACAAGCAGAGTTTAGGCTACGGCTGGGCCTAAAAAGAAGGCTGCTCGGGTATGCGGCCATTGAAAGGGCAAGGAAGAAGCAGGCATCGCGCATAACCAACATTAAAGAGGGGGACGCCAACACGAAGTACTTCCATCGCAAAGTAAATGCAAGGAAAAGAAGAAACCACATTTTCCGTTTAAGGAGGCAAAATGGATGGGCCGTTACACACGCAGAAAAGGAAGGGGTCATTGCCGACCATTTCCGACAAGTGATGGGGCGACCAGAACCTAGAACTAGTGACCTGAACTGGCCCTCCTTAGACCTTGCCCCGACAGACTTGACACGGCTAGAGGAGCCTTTCTCCGAGGCAGAGATACGCAAGGCGATAAATGAAATGCCGGGGGACAAGGCTCCAGGCCCCGATGGCTTCACCGGCAAATTCTTCAAGTCATGCTGGGACATCATCCAAGTTGACGTAATTGCGGCGTTCAATGCTCTTCATAACATGAGAAGTGTGCACCTTAACCTTCTAAATTCCGCCAACGTGGTTCTCATCCCCAAAAAGGATGGCGCCGAAGGAATCAATGATTTTAGGCCAATAAGCTTAATTCATGGCTTCGCCAAGCTCTCCTCCAAAGTGCTCGCCATTAGACTAAGGCCACTAATGCAATCACTGATCTCGCCAAATCAAAGTGCCTTCATTCGCGGGCGAAGTATACACGACAACTTCATGTATGTGAGGAATATGGTGAGAAGATATCACAAGACTCGGCGCCCGATCCTCCTTTTCAAGTTAGACATCTCCAAGGCTTTTGACTCGGTCAGATGGGACTACCTACTTGCGCTCCTCCAAAATAGGGGTCTCCCACAAAAATGGCGTGACTGGATATCCGGGCTGCTGTCCACTTCCACCTCAAAGATCACCCTGAATGGAATCCCGGGCGAAACAATCAGACACTGGAAGGGTTTGCGGCAGGGTGACCCCATATCCCCCCTCCTCTTCATCTTGGCTATAGACCCCCTCCAGCGCCTGTTAGACAAGGCTACCGACATAGGAATTCTAAGTAAGCTGCGAGGCAGAGCTGTGCGCTTCCGCACATCTATGTACGCGGATGATGCGGCCGTCTTCATTAATCCGACCAAAGAGGACGTGAGCGCCTTCGCCGATCTGCTAAATCGTTTTGGGAAGGTATCAGGATTATGCACGAACCTGCAAAAATCGCAAGTGGCGCCGGTCAGATGCGATAATCTGGACCTCGACGACATCCTGCATGACACGCCTGCAACTAGGGCAAGCTTCCCGATGAAGTATCTGGGGTTGCCTCTGTCCACTGGCCGTCTGTGTAAAGTAGACCTTCAACCTCTCTACGACAAATCGATGAGTAGAGTAGCAAGCTGGCGAGGAAGACATATTGGCCTGGCAGGGCGATCAACGCTGGTTAAATCGGTGCTCACTTCACAACCTGTTTTTCTTCTGACGGGCCTGAAAGCTTCAAATGAGTCCCTAGAGATCATCGACAAGCAGAGAAGGAAATTCCTATGGGCAGGCGGTGAAGCTCTGACGGGGGGCAAGTGCAAAATAAATTGGGCACGGACCTGCCTCCCTACAGCCTTAGGAGGACTGGGCATCCTGAACCTGGAGGAATTTGCAAGAGCTTTATGACTGCGGTGGCTTTGGAACAAGTGGAGATCACCGGAAAAAGCATGGGTGGGGTCGGGAACACCCTGTGACGACACAGATAGGTTACTTTTTGTAGTAGCAACAACCATAACAATAGGGGATGGAGCGAAAACAAGCTTTTGGGATTCAGCTTGGCTGGAAGGGAGAAGACTAAAGGATGTAGCTCCCCTGATCTACGCGGCCTCCAAGAAAAAGAACAGCACGCTACAACAGGCCTTAGCCACAGACCAGTGGCTGCTCGATCTGGACCTTCCTCCAGCCTCAGGCTGGACAACGGAGCTGGTCAGCCAGCTAATCAATGTCTGGAGTGCGTGCACAACGTACATTTCACAGAGAATGAGGAGGACAAGATAGTGTGGAAGCTCACTAGCCACGGTGAATATACGGCGACGTCGGCCTACAAAGCGCAGCTCCTAGGTACTACTGCCACCAACTTCAACATCCTAATATGGAAGCCGTGGGCACCGCGCAAGTGCAAGACCTTTGCCTGGTTGATCATCCAAAATAGAGTTTGGACCTCCGACAGACTGGCAACCAGGGGTTGGCAGAACAACTCTTTCTGCCCCTTATGCAGACACACCCAAGAAACTGCTCTCCACCTCCTCGCAGAATGCAGATACACCAGGAAAATTTGGACGGCGTTATCTGATTGGACTGGGTGTGGTCAACTGAACCCCGGACAATGGCAACCAGCTCAATCGGTGTCAGAGTGGTGGGAGGCCACCGCCAACTTGAAGGAAGTCCCAAAGAAAGCACTCCGCACGTTAACACTTCTGGTCAACTGGGAAATCTGGAACGAGAGAAATCGTAGAATTTTCCAGCACAAAGAGCTATCTACAGGAAGTCTGTTGGCCAAAATTAAAGAGGAGGCCAAAACATGGTCTCGGGCGGGGGCGAGGCATCTTGGTAGCTGGCTTGCTTTTTATTTTTAGCTCAGTAGGACCGAAGGTCCTGGGCCTGGTTTTTCTTACTTGTAAAGTTTACTCCTCTATTCAATGAAATTGGCAGCTTACCGATTCGTTCAAAAAAAAAATTCTAAAACTAGCAATGCTTAGGCCTTAGAGTGCAACATAGAAAAGAGAAAGAAAGTAACTAAGAAATTGACACCTTCTGTTTGAAGAGCTCCTTATTGAAGACGTCCTCGACAGACCAAGAGAATATTTATCTCACCAGATAACTTAGAGCAAACTTGCTGAGGCTGCTGTCACGTTTCTTCAACTTCTCCCAGTAATTCACCACAGACTGGATTGCATCCACACACTCAGATTTCTTGACTTGTTTCTGCCTCCTAGACTTGTTGCGAGCACTCATCTTGCTCACCTGTTTTCTCACCCGTGCAAGCGAAGACAGCAGGAGGCAAGGCTACTTACAAATGCAAGCAGCACAGCAAAATGGCAAGCATGAGGTCTTTCCTCAGTCAAAAGGAGATATCAACCGGCAGAAGGGGAAGGGGCAGAGAGAGAGAGAGAGAGAGAGAGGATTGAACTGCTTCGATCCTACCAAAGCAAGAGGTAGTCGGGACTCTTGCACTTCCCCATGATACCAATGATCCTCTCGAAAAGAGAGAAGTGGCTATCGAGTTGGAACTCTTTGAACTTCCCCATGAGGCCATGATAGCATTAGCGCAGTAAATGCAGCTCAAAGACAAACGGGAGATTTTAGGGGAAGAGATACGGAGTTTCAAGTGAATACCGAAATTTGGGAGTAAATCTCACCCAACTTTCAGGTTTCAAACGACGATTTCAACTTAGCTTCACAATTTGGAAGGAATTTTAATTCCATATCCTAATTGATGGAATAAACAATTCAAGTGAGATTCATGTTTCGGAACCGTGCTAACACGAAGTCTGAATTTTCAGAAACAAAGGCTAAAATGAGTTTCCGAAATCGCAACCAAGTCTCACGCGCATTTCAAGCGACTTGGTTGCGATTTCGGACATCAAACTTTCAGGTTTCAAACGACGATTTCAACTTAGCTTCACAATTTGGAAGGAATTTTAATTCCATATCCTAATTGATGGAATAAACAATTCAAGTGAGATTCATGTTTCGGAACCGTGCTAACACAAAGTCTGAATTTTCAGAAACAAAGGCTAAAATGAGTTTCCGAAATCGCAACCAAGTCTCACACGCATTTCGAGCAGTTTCGCTGAGCATTTTCAGCAGGTCAGCAGTTTCGCCATTGCCGGGGTGCGCGGCCTCGCCAGCATACCGGCGCCCGACGGCCACCCTCGACGGGGGAGAACCGCCGCCGGCGAATCATCGTGCCGACGAGGCGATGGAAGGAGAACGAGAGAAACGCTCGCGTGGGGAGGGTTCGAGCGACTCATCGTGGTGTAGTGAAATCAACGGCACGTAGCACGTGTGCTTACGATATCCAACGGTTGGTCGCTATCCCGTCGGTGGACGCTGGAAACGGTATATCCGCGGAATATCAACAAACTGCGGAACAAAATGGAGTGACATAATAACAAACGAGGTTATCCAGAGAATGGCATTGGATTATACTAATACAGTACAAAAAGTTACGGAGTATGATTTGTCAAGTAACACAAGTGATAAGTGAGCTTGAGCAACCAGCGTGCATCAAAAGCTCATATGGTTCAACAAAATGTAGGGCTCACATTGTCAGCAACACAATACTAACAGTAACACACATGGTTTTCTTCCTTCGGCAAACCCGAGTGACAACTGAACAAACAAGCCTTGACACCGACGCCATACGATATTTCAAGCGTCCAGACAAACTGAATCTTGCAAGCTTCAGACTTCTCATGAACGGTAGTTTGGCCTTGGTTTCTGCAATGTACACAACAAGAAAAGGAATGATCAACGCCAAGGTGTCAGGTATTGTTTCCAGTAATTCTTTCATTGTCTAACTGTCGGTACCTGAAACCTTGGCCGGCTTATATGCATCGAGTCCATTTTTGATAAATTTACCGACTTTCTCCTGGATAGCTCTAACTTGAGCATTGTATGGGGACACAACACCAACAGAGAGCTTGCTTTGTGTAGAAACTGCTTCTGAAATTACAGAAACGAAAATGAATACTAGGAGTTATTTGTACTGGGTGTACGTCACACATAACAGCATACTCTCTTTTTTTACCTGAGACAATGCACTCATTATTACAAGAGATAAAGCACTAGAATTAGAGCTACAGTACTGTCAGTTACCTTTGAATAATCTCTGAACTATTCTCAAAACTGTAGCAACTTCTATTGTGTTTTTCAGGCTACGACCATTCTTCTCAGCTGTTTCATGACCCCCATCTACATTAATAAACGAATATGGCCCAAATATTTTGCTTGCTAAAAACTTCCTTTCATAATTCTTACTAGTGACATTGGAGCCGTCAGATATCTTGCCATCATAAAATGTAGCAACTGGAAACCTGCTTATTTCTGGATGCATCCTGTATTGGACATTGAGAAGGTGCTTACTGTAGCCCAACAAACTTAGCCTCTCAAAAACACTTCGTCCAAAGAAAGCATTGTCAGCTATCTACAGAATCATAATACATGTCAATGAATTGATTCCAAGTAGAAAATAAAGAAAAGAGTAACGAAATATGGAATCAACAGTGCTTACTTTGCTTTTCACCAAAGCAGGTAGCTGATATTCATCTCCAATCAAAACAGCCTGCGTAATACCAGGAAGCTGCAAAGGAATTAAGGTCTCACACTCTTTGAGTTGTGCAGCCTCATCAACAATTAGCATCTCCAGAAGATTTGCCTTTTCAGGCTGCTTGAACGGTCCACATATGCCCGAGGGAGAAACATCCATGGGCACGTTGTACAGCCTGAAAGAGCTAGAAACAGTACAGAGAATGCATTTTGTTCTTTGCAGCAGATAGAGTTTAATTGGCTGTATACTGTAATAATTTGGAAGCTCCAAGTTCTTGACGAGATATTTTAATTCTTGCACACACAGCAATCTGGCAAGCCTGAACTTGGATTTAATGCATGTGCTAGTTTGCACAGAGACTAACTGCTCAGACCACAAAACAGGATCACTATCCTCTTCTATCATGGTTTCAAGCAGTTCATCTGACCATATGTCAGCATTGCCCTTATAGCAGTTTATCATTCCATGAAGAATTTTGATCAATTCAAGTACCTCCAGCATACACTGAAAGCTCCGTTCTGTTCCTGAATTTCTTGGATGATTGTTGTACAGTATCTCAATGCAATAGCTCAAATTCTGAGAAAGGTTGTTGTAACCATCTTTCAAATAATATTTGAATGGAAGCAATCTGGATGCCTCTTCCTTATCTTCAGGTCTCCCACATTTCTTCTCACAGCTACCATTTCCAAATTGCATTCTCCAAGGAACATTTTCACCTTTATCCTTCTCAGCAGTCTCCTTTTCTATATCCTTCCTTTTCTCAAGTACATCCTCAATGTAATACTTGTACTTGGTCACAGAATTCTCAAGAAGATCTATCAGTGAGCACAAGCAATGCCTCCAACCCGTGTTTGGCACAAAACATGGTAACAATCGCTCAGCACGAGAGTCAAGAAATATCACAGAAAGCTCATGACCATCATCTATCTTCATCCTCTTTTTGTTTCCAAACAGAACAATATCACTTAGGAAGCAGGCACTACCATCTGAACATCCCCTAACAAGACGGACAATTCGAGATGCTACCTCCAATATGGAAGTATTGGTAGGTGCACAAGTAAGTGTCTTTCGGCCTTTGATGAGCATTGCCCACAATATAGTGCTGATGGTTTTGGTTTTACCCGTCCCAGGAGGGCCCCATATCAGTTTTAGGGAAGACAATTGGTTCTCCATTACTGAGACACAATCTGCTACTGCATTCAGCTGTGAAGCATTTAGGTTTAACTTCTCAAGGCCAAGGAAATCCATTGATCCATGTTTCAAGCACTGAGATACTTGGGATGAGTTGTCTTCCACTACCTTCATAGGGGAATTGGACAAAGGGTAAATAAATCAATCATCATGATTAACGAATAATGTAAATGAGTAAAGTACTCCCTCCGATTCAAAATAGGCACGTTTTGGGTGAGCACAAAGATGTAGGAGGGCACAAAACCAAGAGAAAAGGGAGGTTAAAATAAAATGACAATGCCACCCATACTTAAATACTGTGCAAACAGCTAATGAGATGGTTAGTGAGAGGCTATGCAATAATTTTGCTTCTTATGTTTTGCAACCCAAAAAAAAAAACTGTAGGCCTTATAAAAACAAACAGCGGGAGTAATACATGAAAAAACATCAGGCGGCTATCCCATTCCATATGCAACAATATATGACTTCTATTATTAGCATATACAATATGGAACAAATTGCATGAGAAATGTAAATTTCAAGGAAAATCTACACAGAGAGCCAGAATGGATTTTTTCCATATAAAAAAAAAGTTGCCCCAGCAAAATGAGGAAGCTGAAAGCACATCTGTACATATAGTAATTCCTAAGACTTTGAATGTAAATAAAGTATTAGATATCCTGGACTTTCTTTGCATGTAAAAGGACAACATACCTTTGGTTTGTATTGCCGCACAAGATTGACCATATTAGTACTGCTTTTGTTCTGAAGATTGGCAAGATTACCATCATTTGCTCCCAATCGAAGGCATTTCCATATACGATTGTATGTCTTCATATTTATGAGAAACACAGCAAATATTGCTCCTTTAGGCATTTTGGTTTCAGGATCTGCCTCAACAGGAATAGAAGATGACAGCTGAACAATGCAGCAATCAGTGGGAAATCTCATCATCTCCACATTTGAGAACCGAACCTAAAACATATGATGCTTTATTTTGTGTCAAATCAGAAACATGCTTTGGCTTTTGAGTGGACATGGCTATTATATCACCTTCTGTCGGATCATATGTCTCCCTCGATTTCTCATCCTTTGATGGTTCTGAAACCTCAAAACCAAATATAAACTTCTCATTATCAAGCTTCTCCATCCGAACTACTTCTATAAAGTTTGCATGGGCATAGCCATCCAATGACGAGAAGACATCGGCATGCACTTCCTCGACCAGAGGGCAGGTAAATGAATCCAAGTAACTCTCCAATGATGAAAAGGTATCTGGTATCCTCTTGACCTGTGATGAATACCCAGATGGTTGGTTAGCCCTCACTACAGCAAGTAAATAAGCATAACCACCCTTGTGAAAAAGATGCAATGTAATAAACTGTTTAGCTACAAAATAAAGATGGTATGACACAACACATATTGCTATCATATAACCGAAGTAGAACTAATAATAGTGTTGGCTTGTGAAACAGACTACTTAGTTATTAGCTCCAATACAATATTAGGTTAATGCCTGTTTCTCAAAAATCTGAGCTTGCCGCTCGAATTATCCCAGAATAATAATTTACCAAAAAGATTTGAAACTGAAGCGCACATAGAACCTATTATCCCCTATCTGTGCGGTGTCTAACATACTGTAATCCTGTCATCTATAAATAATTTAGTGGTTCATCTTGCTTGGCAAAACAACAAACACTTGGCGTGCGACTATACAAGCCGCCACCCCCTTTTAGAAGCATAGCTCTCCGCCAACAAAACAAACATAAAGAAGAGACGATACATGGGTGGCGGCGAAGCTGGTCGCCGGCCGAGAGCTCGTCCCTGGGCCAGGCAGAGAGTGGGGCCGCCATCGGAGCTCGTTCCGCGGCTCCGCCTGCTGCCGGCTTCGCCGGCGACACGGGGTCTCGCCATCGCCGTCGGAAACGGGTGCGGCGAGGGTGTGGGACTGTGGAGTGGGCCGTGCCGAGTTTGGGCTAGAGCCTAACAGAAGATGGGCCAATGACTCGATTACACGGAGCTCCGCGAGACCACGAGCTCAAACTTGGGCCGTCCAGGGTAGACCGAGTGAGATTCAATTGCTGAACGTTTGGGCCGTTGTACAAAAGAAGGAATAATTATCTTGGAAATAAAAAGGCAAACAATTTCAAATACTCCCCATTTATTTTACATGAAATAGTTTGATTTAAAAAAAAAAATTGGTCAAATACTCTTGAAGATTATTAGAATCAAAGTATGACTATATATATAAATTTAATATCGAAGTCATTATTAAGCTTAATCTCAAAGGTTTTTTAGAATCAAAGTATGACTATATAAATTGAACGGAGTAGTCCCAAATGCATCCTGGACCAGGTTGTTTATCTACCTTTATCATTTTCGCAATGATGATCCAAAATATGAGCTATTTTTAATATATCAGATCATGTTTATCCGGGTTTCAGGACGAAGCCTGCGAGTACCCACGAAGAAATCTGTAACTAGCTGAAGAAAAACAATAATACCAGTACAACGCAAAAAAGAAGAAGCAAACCAAGAACAACTCAAAAATCAGAATGCATGCATGATGCATCGTCCAGGAGTTATAGGGACAACTAACATTGTTATCTGAAGATATCATACATATATTCAGACACCCCTGAACATGCATGGAGAGTTGGAGACTATGAAGTAAACAAAACCATATGGGGACAGACACAGTTTGCATGCAGCTTGATGGCAAACAAAAGCTTGGGATTTGGGACTGGATCGTATCATGATTCATGAGCAGTCGATCGACGGTTTAATTACCTGGTGCTTGAGCAGGTCCCTGTTGAAGATGTCCCTGATCGACCAAGAGAACACCTTGCTCTCCAGGTTGCTAAGAGCGAACCTGTTGAGCGTCGGGTCATCTTTCTTCACGGCAGCCCAGTAGGTCGCTACGGCCTCCATCTTCTTCGCCGCCGCGCTCTGGAAGTCGTCGTCGCTGCTGTCACCCATGGCGCTAGCTTTCTCTGTACTCCACTCCGAATTGAAGCAGCAGGGATGAGGAGTGGAAGTGGCTCTCGAAATCGCAGGTGCATGATATGGCAGCCCAGTCTTAACACGAGGCCGTTGGCCTTCCCGAGTCGTGGTAGTGTAAAAGTCGGCTCGGTAGCAGACGCTGGAACGGCTGAAATCGTGTGGTTATTGTCCATGACGCATCGGTGCATACACCCCGCCCGCTGATGCACACGTGTAGAGTAAGGATAATAGTAGAGCTCATTTCCTACTATTGCCCATCTTAAAGCCAACATATAAGGTTGGCTACAACTTCCTTCTCATTTATCTATCTCTCACCTACTTAGGAGCTTGTGTTAAGCTAGCTCTTGCATGAGAGCTAACGTCCTTGATTTTTTTGTTACATCTCTCCTCCACATAAGCTTATAGTAGGCTTATAGCTTACTATTAGAGCACCCGCAATGGTAAAATAAGGTGTTCTCTATAAAACATGTACATCTCAGCAATAGACTCGATTAATAGTAAACCACCTTAATAGTATGTCTACATTGGTATCTATAGCTCTCTCATACATTGCCTCGTTTTTATCTATAGACTATCTCTAAGTTAGTATATAGTTTTGCTCTCTCTCTTCATTTAATACCTTTCAAGTAGAAAAATATGCTGACATGGATCTCTTATAGAGAGTCTATAGATAACCATTGTGGGTGCCCTTATACTTGCTCGTACAGTGTGTGCCCACTGCCCAGTGATACAACTGTTTGTCGCAACGACGCAGACTATTTCAGGGAGAATTTTTACTCATCAGGGCTTGTTCGTTTTGAAGAAAAAAAATTGGACTACTAAGAATTAATTCCTAAGTGTAAATTTTAATTAAACTAGAAAAAAATATCCGTGCGTTGTAACGGTTGAAAGCTATTTTAATCTTATCATTGTTATATGGTTTAGCTATGATGAAATTTACTGTGGCAATTCGCTTGGATATTTTTTTAAGAAAATCATGAGTTACAGTTAGGAGTTAGGAGTCAGACTATCATCTCAAGTTAGCATACAAGTTTTTTTAAAGAAATTTCTTATACGACTTCTTTTGTATTTCAAAAAGTAAACGGAATTAAAATCCGACTCATACACGGATTTGTATTACCAAAAGCGAACTATCCAACTCAATTACGGATGATGTATCAAAATACCGGCAAAAACATCTTCAATTTTTATAATAGTAGAGATAGAGAAGAAGAGATTTTGTTTTTCTATAAGTTGTAGATTTTTTTTTTCTATTCACTCAAACCTCTTGAAAAAAATTCCTACAGATTGATGTGTACATGCATTTCTATTCATCCATATTTTCTATTCCTACTGGTTAAATTCCATAAGCCGAATAAGCCCTCGGAAGGCACGCAAATTTGAATTATAGCAGCCTCGCCGTTTAGCTTATACTTGTAAGCAAAATTTTACGTCACACAGAAATCACGTAAAACTCAATTTTGAAGTTGATTTTGTTTTTTTTTTCATCGCAGTTTGAGTTATGCAATCACTCTTCCAAGAACATTCAGTTTTGAGTTTGAGTAACTAAAACTGAAGAACATCCTAAATCTGACTAAGCAAAATTTATAAGGATCGGGCGAGCTACAATACTGCATTGTTTGGGATTTGGGCACCTGATCAACAATACTGCTTATATATACTCTGACGCCCTGGTGCCAACTCAAGTATAGGGTTTCAGAAACAGAGTGTAGAATCCTCAACGAATTTTAAGATTACTTAAGCATACGGTGATATCCTCTACATTTTCTTCTGTATCCCCGGGGAAACCACCAATGCCAGTTGAAGTTGAAGGGCTTTCATCTTTCATCCCACTTCGGGATGGCACTTGAACCTGAACAAACACCAGAATTATAAGTTTAAGAATAATTATCTGATTTATCTGGTACATAAATATTTATTTATTATTAGTTGAGACACTTTAAAATTCTGCAGGAATGATCTGTCTAGACAAACAGATAATAACTACTGCATGCAAAACACTAATTACTCGTACATATACATAAGAGTTGGATAGCTGGATACTTGGATGCACTAATAATAGTTCAGCACAACTTGTGTTGTTGCAGTTTGTTCAGGTGGGCTGCCTGAGAATTGGATGTCCAACCAGTGAAATAGTATTTGAACAATGGATCTTCATGATCCTATAAGACAATAGATAGATTGAAAGGGAAAAAACAAGTTTGGTGCAGATAACAAACAGTTAAGCTGTATATCCATCCCCTTTGGGGCATGTCACACAAAAAAAATGCTGCAAAGTGTTCCTGTCAACTAGGCAACTAGTAGAATCATGGTATCATATTTCAAGAAATACGTAGCACACGATAATGATGCATCAATCAGGAAAATGAACATGAGATAAATGATAAAATTTAATTCCACAACTCAGAGGAGATATATAAAGTGTAATGTGAGTCAATACCCAAACCCCACTATTTCTGACTTTGAATGGTGTACTCTTTCTATCTTTAACTTTATTGGTCTCAATTTTGTGCTTAGCAAGCACACGGGAGATATCCTTATCACTGTTTGCGTTGAAGAAACACTGTCGATCCTTCGCGTCACGAACTAGATCTGCCCAGATAGAGCCAGACCTAGATAAGGTTGTTGCATTTCCCAAAATCCAAAGGCAATACCTGTGATTAAATAAGGTGATAATGGGGATAAAAATAAAAATAAAGGAGAAAACATGGGTCAAAAAAGGAATTTAACCTTAAATAAGTTATAGAAGATACCTTGCTCGTGTAAGTGACACATTTGTGCGCTGCCGGTTTGAAAAGAAAACCTACAGCCCCATCTGAGTTGGACCTCACAGTTGATAAAATGATTATGTCTTCCTCACCACCTTGAAAGCCATCAACAGAATTAATTTTTACTATGACCGGGTCAAACTTCATTTTCCCGAGTTTTTGTTGAATTGCTAGGACTTGAGCAGTATATGGACATATGACACCAACTGTAACCTTATTTTTGGTTTTAGAATGGGCTGCAGAGGATGAGAAATACTTAGATTTATGACAAATCATAAGATTATTAAATAAGCTAGATAAATATTATTTTGCCACAATAAGCTAGATAAGAAATAACAAAATAAAATGCTACATGTTTTGGTGATAAATTAAATGACTATAGAGCGCATGCCTCTTTGGAGATTTCGCAATATTTCCTGTATGACAGAAACCTCAACCACATTCTTTCTGCTGCGGCCAAGTTCATCAAGATCCTCCTTACCATCTTCAATATTGAAGAAAGAGTAAGGACCAAACATAAGACCTGGAAGGTACTTCTTTCGGTGTTCTTTCTGCTTGACATTAGGAGCATCTAAGAGTTTCCTATCATAGAAGCTGATGTTTGGAAAGATACTAATGGATGGGTGCATTCTGTATTGCATATTAAGGAGATGTTTTTCATGTCCCAGTGAACTCAACCTCTCGAAGAGGCTTCTCCCGAACGACGCATCCTCACAAACCTGCAAAACAGACAGAGAAATGAAATACGAGTACAGTATAAAAAACTGACGAAACGAATGGGGAATATGATGTTCACTGGATTAATAGATTCAATGCAGTAATAACATAGGTCAAGAATCAACCTTGCTTTTGACAGTTGCTGGCAATTGGCACTCGTCACCAATAAGAATAGCATGCTTTAAAGTAGGCAAACGCAACGGGATCAATCCTTCACATTCTTTTAACTGAGCAGCCTCATCAACAACAAGCAACTGTAGTTTTTTATTACTTATTTTGGAAGAGCTAGATACAGTGCAGAAAACTATGGAGGCGCTTTCCATACAGAACTCCCGAATGGTACGTTTGGAGGAAGTTATAGGAAGTTTCAAGCTACTTAATAACATATTCAGTAGCTCGAGACATCTAATTCTGATTTTCCCGAGGCTGATTGCTGTTTTAGAAAATTTTGTCAGACTGGATACACTGGAATCAGATTGATCATCATTATACAGGAAAATTCCCTTCACTTCATCCTCAATATTTTTGTTCATGAATTTCTTGTTGAAATCTTCAAGCAGCTCTAGAAGTGAAATGATATTGTTGTAATTCACTTCCAAGATAGTGGATTTTGGAACATGGAATAGTACTTCTTTGAAACATCTTCGAAGCTCTGGATAAGTAGCATTAAATCTTTTTCTAGTGTAAGAATAAAAGGTAAGGCTATCACCTTCCTTTTGGTCTTCCAGATATTTCTGATACTGGGAGTAACCATTCTCAAAAAGATCAGATAGGGAAGATAGGCGATGTCTCCATCCAGTCATTGGCACAAAGCATCCAAGCAGCGTCCTTACACGATCATGTAAATAGATCTCTTTGAGATTACCGTCAACACACATGCGTTGTTTATTGCCACAGAGTAGAACATCTCCTAAGCAGGCTCTATCCGAAGACTCTTTGATCACCTTCAAGAAACGCGAAGCAACTTGTTTAACAGCAAGGTTTGTGGGTGCACATGTTAGAGTACCATGGTCCATTTCTCTCATCAACCACAACAGAACACTGATTGTTTTTGTCTTTCCTGTGCCAGGAGGTCCCCAGATAAGGCTAAAACTGCTACTGCTGTTGTTGCTATGCATTGATGAGATACAATTCAAGATCGCATCATTCTGAGAATTGTTAAGATCCATCGTAGACAGTTTACTCCATATCTCCATACTGTCGATAGAATGATCCTTTTTCTGTTTCTGAACAATGTCTGCAACCTGGGAAAATCAGAAAATGGAACTAATCAAACTACCTACTTCTGTACAACCACCCAAAACCTTTCAATAATCAGTTTGGTTTTGAAGTGAATATACTCGGATCGTTTCTTTTGCAATAACCTGGAGCTTTTCTTTTGCAATGAAATATTCTTGAAGAAAAAGGAAAAATGTATATAGTAATTTCAAAATAGTCTCCCTTCTTTGATCACTGCCCTTTCATGTTCATTATTGGACAAAATATCAATCATAATAATGTCTTCAGATCAGTACCATTCAGTGTGTACGTACCAGTGGATAATGTACCATCTCCTGTATGAGGCTTTGATTTCTTCTGACTGCAGTGTTGTAGTCAAGGCAGCGCCATATACGGATGTATGTTACAATATTGAGCAAATAGGCAGCAAAAAGTTTGATCTCTTTCCTATCTTGACACTTGCCATCTTCAGAATCAATTTTTCCTGATGATATGATCACATACTTAACTGGAGGTGAGTCGTCGTCTTCATCCCCTCCTTCTGTGACAAAGGCAACAATATATGGCCTCCCATTGCGAGTGATGTCAGAAATATGCTCCGGCTTCACATCAGACAGGATAATGATATCACCAACACTTGGAACATAACTTTCAGGTCGGTTACATGCCTTAGAATTCTGAGAATCAGCATCGAAAACAATGTCGTAAACTTTGTTGTTTTTCTTTTGCTCGATCCACGAAATTTTGGTAGAAGGCATGGTGGATATGGCTTCCAAGCTAGAAGACATCTCCGTCCGCATCTCCTCCAGCAATGGAGAGGTGTAGGACTCTAAGTAGCTCTTGAGATCACTGAATGTGGACGGTATCCTTTTCATCTGCATTTTTCACACCTCATATTGATAAGCAACCAGTTGCTAGACAAACTAACCATTCTTGGTTAAACTATAATTGTTTGAAACAGAATCTCAATGCATTCCAAAATGCAGTGAAGAACCGTGCTTTAAGAGAAACAAGATAATTTGAAATCACTAAATTCTACTAGGTAAAAATACACGACCTGCAGGCTGCAGCACCTATCTCAACAATCTGACTCTATTACTATAGGTTGTAGAACGTTGCTCACATGTATAGTAGGCTGAAATTGGAGTACTTTTTAAATATTTAGAAAGCTTAAGAGGTCTTTAAAGCATGCGCATTTAGAGCCGAAAGCCAACCTGTCATGCCCCGAACTAGTCCTGACCGGAACTAGCCCGTGACGCTCCAAATTAACCTGTTAATCGATACCAGTCCCAGGAAACAGTGCTGGTATCACAGGGAGACAGAATATCACAGCAACAGAGGTCTCTTTATTATAGAGTAGAGATACAGTCATGTTGGGCTACGGACAGATCCCGAGCTCACAACTGCATTACAAAAGGGAAACGGAAGCCAGGACTTGGACCAAACATCACAGGCGCGACTTGGGAACTAGGCCGAAACCCTAAAACTCATCGTAGCCGGCTTGCTCCTGGAAGAACTCCTCATCAGCAGGATCCGCTTCATCTTCTTCAGCAACTAGGGGGGGATTATTTATATAGAGCAAGGGTGAGTACGGGAGTACTCAGCAAGCCAGGGGAAATAAGTGTTTATTGCAGGCTTCAAGGAAAGGCTGTTGTTTTTGCAATTGATTTTATTTGAACTCTTTTCTAGAAACAACTAAGGGAGTGCTTCTCAAACGACACGGATGAGACAGTGCGTCTCGTCCGGTCGGAGTATGTGCAATGTATCAGTCTTTAGAAATGAATCAAGGTTGGCACCCGGCCAACAGCTTTTCAAACGGCCACCCGGGCCAACAACTTTCAAACGGCCACCCGGGCCCAGCTGATCCCGTCAGCTGCAGATTTTTCAAACATCGAACCTCTTTTCACAATAGCAATTTCACAAGCAGTAGTCAAACAAAACTACGCTAGGAATCACCTCACATCCGCCCATGACCGTGGGCACGGCTGTTCGAACAGTTTGTTAACCTCTGCAGAGGGGGTACACTTTACCCACACGACATTACTAACCCGGATCACCCAGCCCGTGGGGATCAGCCACGTCGGGAGACCTCCAAGCTTTCATGACAAGGCATTTCCAAAGCCGACACAAGTTTACCATATGCCGACGAGAGGGGTCCCAGACCGACAACAGGTTAGGTCCCAGACTATACTGTGCCAGGAAGCCCAGGGGGTCCTTTCCGACACCACCCCGGCGAATCCACATGTCTCTCGGCATCAAGGCTCCCCTGATAAGCTAGTTACTCAGCCAGGGGTGTCCCATCCCACCCATGTGGTCGTACTTGTCTTATGTTTGGATGAAATTCCAAGGAATCGGTCCTTAAGTGCAAGAGCGGGAAACCGTACACCCGGTACGTTCCCCGGTCCGCGGTTTTGGAAATTCATTTAGTTCGCAAGCACCGACCCAGGTGTCGGGTTTTCCAAGTCTTTTGTAAAACTCCAGTTTTACCCAAATTGTTAAACAGATTTTAAGTTTGAAGGCGTCCGTCGATACTCGCACAGGGTGCACGAATATCGAGACGCAACTAGATGGTTACCAGGGGACAAGATATAGCAATTAACAAAGGAAGGATCAAATGCGACAAATTAGGTAGGTCCGCCAATCTGCCTTGCAGACGGGACAAACAGATTAAGTGCGATCCTATCAATGCATAATATTTTGCAAGGAATATAATTAAATTTCAAATATAGGCTCAAGATGTTCAAAGGTGGCTTGCCTTGCTCGAGATCTGGAGCTTGATCCTCGAGATCCTCGCGCTGCGGGTCTTCGGGCTCCGAAACTACACGCGAAACGGGACAACTCAACAAACGGCGAAAATAAAGCCCTATTAATGACCTTTAAGCGTGCCATTAGAAAGATCTCGAGATTTGAGGAATTTTGGAAGTTGAACGGAGTCAAACGGATTTACGGTTGGGAAGATATTGAATTTATAAGATTATTGGATTTTTGATCTAAAGGAAAAAGGATTAAATTAAATCCTTTTTGAAAAAGAAAAGAAAGAGGGAGGAGAAGTAGACTTCCCTCGGGCGGCTAGGACGTGGCCCGAGAGAAGAAGCGCGGCTCGGCCGAGCTAATGGGCCGGCCGGCCCAAGAGGACCCGGCCCAGAGCGCGCGCGGGAGGGGAGGAGAGAGGGGGGCCGGTGGACCGGGCTCACCACGCGCGGTCCCGGGTGGGACCCGCTTGTCAGTGGCTCGGCTCACCGTGCGGAGGGAGCATGCGGCGCACGCGCGCGGGCGGGGGAGGGACGCGGTGCACGCGCGCGGCTCGCGGTGGATGCGGATGCGGCGGGACCACGCGCAGCCTCACGGCTCGCGGTGGAAACGCGCGCACCGGGGAGGGACTGACCCGGGTCGGCCCGTCCCGACCTCGGCTGAGCTGGCCGCCGACGTGGCGCCTACGTGGCTGCCACGTGGGCTGGCGGGAGGTAGACGACGACCCGGCCGCGAATGGACGGCGGGCGGCGGCGGCGAGCGGCGGAGCGAACCACGGCGATACGGGCAAAAGCGAGCACACCGGGCGGCTGTTCGTGATGAGGGGAGACGAGCCAACGGCTCGGATTCGCCGGAGGGAGCTTGACGGCGGCGAATCGCGGCGGCGACAACCGGCGGGGAGGGAAGAGGGAAACGGCGACGAGGCCACGAGGGGTCGATTCCCGGCGGTGAGAGCATCTACGCGGCTTCGGGAACTCGACGCTAGCGTCGGATTGGACGGAGCTACGCCGAGCGAGGCTGGCGACGTGCAGGTGCTACGGAGCTCGGGCGGCGACGGCGGCGATCACACGGTGAGCGACGGCAACGGTCGGGGTGGCGCCGGCTAACTACGGGGAGGCTACTCGAGCTACTACCGAAAGTCTAAGGGGGAAAGATGGATGCGAGGAGGAAGAACGGAGGGAGGCACTACCGCGATGAGGAGGGGCGCTGTGACGAGAGGCCGACGGCGCGGGAGTGATCTCTCCGGCCTCGGGCTGAGGAAGAGGAAGAAGAGGGCGCGGCCGAAGTCCCCTTCCGCGTCCTCGAACGCACCGGCTCTTCCGGCGCTCGGCGAAGGACGGCGGAGACGAGACAGAGCACGGGGGCGGTGACAATGGCGCGGAGACGAATGGAAGAGGAAGGGAAAGGGGAGGCTGGGGTTTAAATGGGCGGCAATGTCGGTTTGGGGACCGACTTGCGCGGTCAAGGGCGCGAGCTGGCGCTCGGCGGTCGCGGCCAAAGCGGCGACAGGGAGGATGACGCCGGCGAGGGGGGGAAAGGGGAAAAGGAGGGGGAGAAAGGGGGCTTGCCCCTTTGCCGATTCGGGAAAAAGGAGGAGGGGAGCGGGGCGACGCGGCAGAGAGAGGAGGGGCGCGGCCTCCGTCCCTTGGCGGCTTGCGCGCGGAGTGGCGGGGGCCGGGCGGTGACGACGGCGATGACGGCGGGCGGTTTGGAGCGGCGCGACGACACGGGCGACAGACGCGGCAGACGCTGACGACGGCGGCGACCAGGCGGTCGGCCACCACGGCACGCGCGCGCGGCTTGCAACGGGAGGCGCGGCGGAAGGAGCGGCGCGGCTCGGCACGCGCGCTGGCTGCAGGGGCCGAGCGGCTGCGGGCGCGGCAGGGCAGCGGGGCCGGGCGGCGCAGACGCGACGCGGGCGTGGACCACGCAGGCGCGCGCACGCGAACACGGCGCGCGGGAAGCGGCAGCGAGGGAGCGGAGAGGGAGGACTTGGCTCGGCGCGGGCGGCTTACGCGCTAGAGCGCGCGGCGCGCGGGCGAGGCGGAGCGGAGCTGAGCGGGGGAGAAGCGGAGGGGCGCAGGGCGCGGCTCTCGCGCGCGCGGGGGAGGGGGAGATGGAGAGAGAGAGCCGGGAGGGAGGGGGAGATGGGCCGAGAGGGATTCGGCCCATCGAACCCGGGGGAGGCAAACTAGACTTTTGCGGAGGGATTTGATTTGGAAGGATTTGGATTCGGAATTGAATTCGACGATAGATCGGGGATTGAGATCTTGAGATGGCACGGACACTAGACAACAAGCAAGGAAACAAATTTCGCAATTAGGGTTTTTAAGAGATAATTTTCCCGCTAGGCGCCACGACGGAACGGGCGCTACACAACCGAATCTGCATCTAAGAGGATCTTTGCTTAAGAGAACCCTCCTTTACTTGTTGGCTCCCCCGGCATTTGTAATTTGCTTTATCCCCATAGTGGATTGCTTGTCCTATCAACGCCCCCCTGAACCTTGCTCAACCATTTATTTGGAGCTTCTCCACTCATAGTATTTCTGGTGACTATGGATGAGACTGATACAGCAGGTTAAGGTAGTGGTACACCTTACCGTAGCTTAATATGTTCAAGGAAATGCTTCCGAGAAAAAAAAAAGGTTTTGCCATCCGTCAGCACATAGTAGATAGCAGGATAGTTTTAACTACATCATCAAAAACAGATTTTTAAAGCATAAAAAAATAAAATAAACCAAAATGCATTTACAATTAAATATGAAATATTTGGAGAATTTTCTTGGTAGACTGGTTCGTGAATCCACCAACCCAAGTTCAAGTAATCAGGTCCCACTTATAGTCTTCCAGCTTGAATCTAAATTTAAGTGGGGGTAAGTGTTATCCCGTCAGATTAGAAAGCATAAGTCCAAAACAACTTGAAATTGGTGTAGTGTTTGTAGATTGATCTTCTTAAAGAAAGCCACGATCTCTTTTAAGAACTTAGTATTCCACGAGTAACATTTGGAAACTGGAAGCAAGTGCTGCTGAGCAAGGCATGCGCATTAGGATTTAGCAAGTACGGAGTAGTCGTTTATTGGAGTTCTTATGGTAGTACTAGTATACAACAGTAGCAACACGATCGTAACAAGCGCAAAACCGATCAAAGCACACCAATGGAGGGAGCAGTGGCACCAACCTTGTCCTTGAAGAGGTTCTCGTTCATGACGTCCTCGAGTTTCCAGCCAAGCACCAGATCCACCAGGCTCGGCCATTCCTCCTCCGCGACCTTCCCCCGCGCCTTGCCGCCCCGCCTGATCATCTCCGACGACGAGCGATCAGCCGCGAATCTAATCTAGCTTGCGCGCGGCGGCGGCGGCGGCGCAGAGAGGCCCGGTCCGCTTTCGTGGAGTTGATGAGTCGAAAGAGAATCGCTTGTGCGGGGAGGCGGCCGAAAAAAGAGGAGAAAATTGCGAGGGAAAGCGAGGGCAAAGGCGTGGAGGCCGCCTTCGGAGTGTTCGCCGGGTACCTGCCCTCGCAATAACCAAATTGACCAGTGGTCGTCGAGGCGTCTTGTCCAGAGTTAAGGGCTGTTTACTGCTACTTTCAACTCTACTAAAATTCGACGGTATTGTGGCATACTGGGATATGTTTGATTTGGATTAGGTTTAGTTTTTATTTACAAGATTAAGATGCGGATTTTACCTCGATTTCCGTTTAACATGTATTTTAAACTACTATAACAGTGTATTTTGTGTGAAACATTTTATATAAAAGTTGCTTTAGAACATTAGATAAATTATTGTACTAGGTTGCCTTTTTTTTAAAAAACGGACAGAGTAAGTTCCCGTGTCTGATAAATATTGGTTATGCTATTGCTCAAACTTTAGAAAAATGATAAACTAAGGAGACAATGGAGAATAAATTGGAAAGGAATAATGACATCCTATGAACTCCATCAATTTTAAATTACCTGTTCGTTGTAACAAATCTCACATAAATCTTTATCTCTACTATTATAAAAATTAAAGATGTTTTTGCCGGTACTTTGGTACTTCATCTGTGTAAGTATCGGTTTTTAAGTTCGTTCGTCTTTGGAAATACAAATTTGTATTTGAGTCAGATTTTAAGTTCGTTCGCTTTTGGAAATACAGGAGCAGACGTATAATAAATCTCTTTAAATAGACTTTCATGCTAACTTGAGATGAACATACTCTTAATTGCATTTCATGATTTTCTAGAAAAAAATATATATCCAAGCGAATTCTCACAGTGAATTTTACCTTAACTAAACCGTATAACAATAATAAAACTAAAATACTAGTATTCACCCGTTGCAACGCACGGGCTTTTTTTTCTAGTACACAAAAAAATATATGAAAGATTACATGGTTACCCTCGTTACATACATTCCAACACTAACATTTGTGTCGTATGAAAACGCTAAACTTAAGCAATCGACTATACCAAATACTCCAATATTTTTAACTTCCCATTTTAGTAGGGCAAATCGACTTGCATCCAAAGAAAGGGACAAACATACTGCATATGGATATGGACTTCCAAGTTTCCGGATGATTAAAGTCTTCGGGTCAAGGTCATCGTAATAAAAAAAAATCTGATATGCCTTAGTTGTTAAGTTAGCATCATAATCTCCGAACCCAAAAGCACCATGCTGAAAATCTACTTTAGTACGATTGTACAAGAAAATGATGGTACTAAGTTCACAAAAGTATCAACAAAAGTTGGCAAGTGGATCCCAACTGGAATCTTCTCCTTTTCTTCCGTTTAGTGTTTTCGACAAAAGATGATCATAATCTTGTGAAGAGAAACCGAATCAGCAGCAAAGCACATGTAGACATCACGTTTTTTTGCCCTCAAGGCAGATGATTATTATTTTTTTTTGGAAGGGAATAAGGCAGATGAATTTGAATATACAGCATGTAGTAGTAACAAGTTTTCAAGCTGCCGTTAGGCGTAAATGTGGTCTCAACTCTCAATTCTACGCATCAATTCCGACCAAAAGATCCCCCAAAATCCACACAATCTAAGCTAGTTTCAGGGAGCCTAGCGCGTCGCAGATATCGTCTCTGCACCCCGCTTCGTCTGCGAACGTGTCAAACGCCGTAGCGAACTCGACCGCATCGTCCAGCTCGTCCTCGTGTCCGCGCCGAGCAACGCCGAGCAAACCAGCGCCGCCGTCGTCCCAGTCGTAGAAGCACCGGCGATCCACGGCGTCCCGGACCAGCTCCCCCCAGACGGAGCCGCTGCCGAGCAACGTCGCCGCGTCGCCCAGGATCCAGAGGCAATGCCTGCAAAGAAAACCAGAGGCGCGCAAAACGAGACACCGCCATGGATGGACGGATGCCAACGACGAGTTCATGAGAGGGCGCGTTGGCGTTCATACTTTGATCCGGAAAACATTCAGGCGTGTGTGCGACTGTGCGTTGCGTACCTTGCCCTTGTCAGGGCGACGTTGGCGCGGCGACGGTTGGAGAGGAAACCGATGGATCCTGTACTGTTGGACCTGACGGTGGACAGGATGATGATGTCCTCCTCGCTGCCTTGGAAACCGTCGACGGAGTTGACGCGCACGTCTAGCGGGCGAACAGCGTTCGCATCTATCCCGCTCTGGATCGCCTCCACCTGGGCGGCATACGGGCATATGATGCCTACGCTAACCCCTTCCCCTGTACCGACGCAAGCTACACGGGTGGAAAAAGTATTTTGAAACAAAACTTACAGGCTACTAGTAGTAGTTTGGATTGGAGACAAAACTTGCCCAACCCATATTTGTTACCACTACTAAATTTAAGGTAGAGTCTATACTAGTCTGAGAAAAATTAGCATCAAACTGAATATTGAAATATCAAAACCGAATATTGAAATTCAAGGGTTTTTTTTAAGGGAAAGCAGCACATGAATGTAAGGTTTATAACCCCTAGGGCTAAAGAAAAGAAGAAAACCAAGCTATACTATGCACTATACAAGATGCGGTGTAAGGTTTATGGAGTTACGATACGATGTACTTATATCCGATTTTTTTTATCTAGCAAATTCTGCTCAAATGTAGCTAAATATTGTTCAGATTTTATAATATAGTTTGAAATTTTTCGAAATTTCGGTCCTGAAATGGCTTTGCATTCCGAAATAGTTAACCAACATACAGGGATACAAGGATCAAGAGTAGTAACAGGGGATAGTTACCTTTGCATAGATTATGCAGTATTTTCTTGATGGCAGCCACCTCTGCCATGTTTCTCTTGTTGCGGCCAGGATCCTCTCTACCATTCTCAATGTTGATAAAGGAATACGGCCCAAACATGGCCCCTTGAAGGAAGCTACGCTCGTGCCTCACGTGTGTGACATTCGGCCCATCCAGGATTTTCTTGTCGTAGAAACTGAAGTTTGGGAAGATGCTAATGGAAGGGTGCATCCTGTACTGCATGTTCAGAAGGTGCTTCTGGTGTCCCAGTAGAGTTAACCTTTCAAACAGGCTCCTTCCCAGTAAGGCACCATCTGCAGCCTGCAAGAAATAAGATTACTCAAGATGAATATAAGCAACCTACATACAGGAGTACAATGGTACAAACATATGTGCAGCCCGCAAGAAAGTAGTAGCAGTTCATGAACAAAAGGGCAAAGAAATTTTAGGAGAACTGAATGGACCTTGCTTTTCACAGTAGCAGGCAGTTGGCACTCATCGCCAATAAGAACAGCATGCTTCAAGCCAGAGACTTGCAACGGGATGAGGGATTCGCATTCCTTCAACTGTGCTGCCTCGTCGATGAGAAGCAAATCCATTTTCTGCTCGTACAGCTTTGCAGAGCCCGATACGGTGCAGAAAATAAGAGAGGCGCTTCGTAGGCAGAATTTCTTGATCTTGAAAGGAGAGGTTGTTGCAGGAAGCTGCAACCCTCGCAGAAGAGTACTGATGACGCCAAGAATTTGTGTCATGCTCTGCCGAAGATTTCGAACCAAATCTGAATGTACCACTCCACCATCTGAACCATCAGGCTTCTTTTCTTTCATAAAGATGCCAACGAGCACTTCATCCCCTGCTGCACTATTCTTACTAAGCAACTTTCTGAAGTTCTCCAGCATCGTTGTGAGCAAAATAATGTTGTTGTAATTTTTCTCAAGAATCACAGACTTGGGGACGTGAGACAAGATTGTCTGAAAACATCTGCTAAGCTTCTGGCAAATGTCATGAAACCTTGACCTGACAAATGACGACTCCGGTAATGCTGTCCCATCTTTTAATGCAATGCAGGCTTGGATGTACTGACATCTGAGAGCTAACGGAAAGCTCAGAAAAACTTGTAATGAACTCAGGCCATGCCTCCAACCCGACTCCGGCGAGAAACACTTCTGGAGAATCTTAACACGATTGTCCAGGAAGACCTCCTTCAGATCACCGTCAATGCCCATCCTGTCCTTGTTGCCAAACAGCAGAAGGTCGCCGTGGCACAGTCCGCCGGCGGCAGCGGCGGAATGCTGCTTGCTCAGAGCAAGGAGCCGTGACGCGACCTGGCTGATCGCGGTGTTGGTCGGCGCGCACGTCAGGACACGGTATCTGCTCTGGCTCGTCGCCGTCGTCATCAGCATCAGCAGCAGCACGCTGATGGTCTTGGTTTTGCCCGTGCCGGGAGGCCCCCAGATGAGGCTGAACCGGCCGCTGGTGGTGCTCGCGCCGTTGCCCTGCACCGCCGAGACGCAGCTCTGTATCGCACCGGCCTGCGAGTCGTTCAGCCCGAACGCAGGCAGCCTACTGGTTATCTCGTCGGTGCCACCATTCGCCCGGTGAAAAGACGACGATCCCGCCAACGAAGTGGTCTGCTGATCAAGGGGTCAATCACTCAGGTGAGAAATTCTAGCTAGCTGATGCAGTAAATGAACCAGAACACTGACACGTTCACTTACTAGTGCGACGCCGGCGACGGCCATGACAAGGGGAGGATTTATCTTGAGCGCGTAATCGTAGTCAAGACATCGCCAGATGCGGGCGTAGGGTATAAAGGCGAGCAAACTAGCGGCGAAAGCATACGAGTCTGCATCTCCTATTTTCTTGGCCGCTCTGATAAGGAAGGTACGTCTGTTGACGACATCCTTGACGTGTGCGAGGCAGCAGGAGCGGCCGTTGCTCGCGAGGTCGGACGGCCGTCGCGGCACGGTATCCGTGAGCACGACGATGTCACCGATGCATGGAGCGCAAGCTCCACGTTGGTCGGAAATGGTGACGCGATACAGCGGGCATTGTCGCAAGCCCGTAGGTACACGAACTAGGGATTGTATGTGTTTGGTCGACGAGCTGTTGTTCGGCAACGTCTCCAGGTTAGAGCTCATCTCCGCTCGTATCTCTTCCAGCAACAGGGCCCTGAACGAATCCAGGTAGCTCTTCAGACCGGAGAACCTGTCAGGTATGGCGTTCACCTGCAAAAGTATGCGAGTTCATATGGCCATTGCTCATGCATGTTCAGATCAGGTACGTACCAAACGAATTGAAAAGACGAACGAAATGGATGGAACCTTGTCGGCGAAGAGGTTCTGGTTCATGACATCTTCCAGGGTCCAGGAGAAGATGGTGTTGACGAGATCGTCGTCGTCCGGTTTCTTGTTCCCCTCCCTGGCTCTACCACCTTTCTTCACCATCTCCGGGGACGATCGGGCTAAACACCGGCCGGCTGGATGCTTGGCTGCTCGCGATGCTAGCGGGAGATGGCGCTTCTTCCTTTTATTTTGCAGGTTCTGAAGTCTGAACTTGGTATAGAGCTGCAGTAAATGGTGCTCGCTGCTGTCTCGGCTCTATCGTTTCCCCATGCAGAAATCTGAATGCATACGGGCTCGTCTCGCAGACGCGCATCGTGTGGGTGGCGTCGGATTGCCTGCCTAGGATACGGAACGGTGCACGAGATATCCTGTGGTTTCGCGCGCCGACGACGAGGAGGCGGCCGGCCGTTCGGTTGTGTTTCTCCAAGCATGATGTGTTGCGGTGACGCGTCGGACTTGGTGTAAACTGTAAAGTGTAAAACAACGACCAGTCGTCTTCAAGTTGTGCAAACACGGAAACAACTCGAATTGACAGGCCTTAGTCCAAAGCCGTTTGAAAGCCCAAAGTCTACTCGAATCGAGTCTTTAGCCCAACCTACGGACAGCCTCTAGACCTGAGTAAAACCTAGTGGGCCGAAATTTAGCCCATCGGACGCAGCCCAGCTCAAAGGAACAAACTAGTTGGTCGCCCCCCCCGTGAACAGGGCACCGCCGCGCCGTCGCCGACCCGGGGGATCGCCGTCGATGGCGAGTTCCCCGCCCTAGTTTGCCGCTCCACCCTACCTTCTCCCCCGGCTGCATTGGGTGGCCATGCTCGCCCTCCACCTCACCGCTCCTGCGCGCCGCTCCCCCGTTGCTTCCTCGCCGCTGCCCTATTCCCCTATCGCTCTTACCGCATCCGGATTAACATGCGTATGTGCTACTGCTTGTATCTTACACGAGGGCTACTGCTGGGGCCTCTCGTGGGGCTTTGATTCAGAGGGCGGTGTTCGCCGCTCATGACCTTGGCCATGTGAGGTATGGTGAGCAAACATGAACGCGACGCATTTGAGGTATGGTGTGGTAGTTCGAAATTTTGTTGCTGGTTTATTTTCGAAGCAATGTTGTCGACGACAATTTACTGTTTTGCAAACGAGAACGCTCAGTAAATTGAAAACCATGGATAATTTCATTGCTAATATTAGGCTACCCGCGTTGCTTATTTTTCCAACTGATATAAGATGGCTGCATTGCATACTTTTCCAACTGATATAAGATGGCTTATGATGCATACTGCATAATTTGTTTGCAGCGGGATATTGGGATGCATACTTTCTGTCGGTGCACTCAACAAGGTGATGTTAAGATGTTTACTTCCAGTTTTTTTTCCTCTTCTATTGATACCTTTACTGGTTGTATTATGATTTGTTCGGTACCGCAAAAAGTTCCAGTTAGAAACAGGCTTCCCACAGAGTAGCTGAAACTTCTGTCATACAAACGTCAAAGAGAAAAAACTTCTATCATATAGTACTATTTGTTGTTCCCCTTCTTTTGGTTTGAAGTGTTTGAAATCACTCTTTCCATTTTGTAGAGCAGAAACATTTTACTTTGACACCACCCTCAAATGCAACTTCGACCACAAATTTATATTGCAATGTACTATGAGTATAAGGTATGGTAGTACTTGACAAATCTACATATATCTTTATGTCTTCAATAAAAACACCGAGACAAACACATATCCTGAATTGCCACTCTTGTGTGACTGTAGAGGTATCTAAGATTGAATGGTTATGGGTATGGAAGTTGGGATATGCATATAGTTTATTAGACTTGAGATAACCAACAAACTGTTTATATGCATATGATGTTTGCTTTTGCATATCCTATACATTTCTGAATTGTTTGCGGCTTGCAAGTTGCAACATGAAAGGCACGGTAAATTCTTCCTTTATTACTAATGTTTAGGATTTATCAGGGAGCCAGCCATGAACTGTTTACTGCTATTACAGACTGAAATAGAAGGGCCAGCTCAGTTGTGAAGTTCTGAATCTGTGTTGGCAGTAATATACCGAATTAAATTTCATTTTCTCATGGCAAGAATACATTTTTGTTGCAGTGTATCTGGAATCTTGAGTACTAACACATGATTTAGTACTTGTATAATTATTGGCAATTTGACAAGAACCAATAGCTTTGATCTTTTGATTTAACTATATACTGATTCTTCATATGTTAGAAGCTGGATATAGTGCTCATTTCTCTCATGATGTCGCAAGCAATGCCAGATGCCATTTATATGAACTCTGTGGAATGCATTTGAATTTTGAAGCATGAAGGCACTGCAATAATATGATTGCAGCATTTGTTTTCTTCCGTCACTGTATTAATTCTGCTATGGGTATTCTTTGGGTACCGACTTATCTAATAGCAGTTTTATGTGCTGAGTTGGTACAGAAGTTGTGTGTAGCTCTTGAGTAAAGTCCCATGTGAATTAAACCAACGATGTCTATCAAAATCTCAAAAGGCATATATGCCAAAGGAAATCGATATCAGATGAACCAGTTTATCTATTTAGATATAGAGGGCTGGAACGCACAGTAGGCTTCTGTTGGTCAGATGCAGATGACCAGGAAACAATGTTAGTGAGAAGAAAAGGTGAGTGTATCGAGTTTTTTTTTCTTTCCATCTATCTACTTCTCCAAGCTAAGAAAGAACTTACACAATTCAGGTCTGTGGCCAGTTTTCGTCGACATGTTACTCCGCAGAAGTAGAGGCGTTTTGTTTTTGACTCGCCAGCACTACCCTGGTGAATGGCAAGTGAAGGTATCAACCAAATTTTCGTTCTCTTTTTGTGTTCTGTTCTTCCGCCTTATTTTTGCATAATGGTTTATGTAAGTTGTTTGTGGAAACTGTAGCTGCATCATCTGATCATCACCACCCTCAAAATGACACTAAAAAGTTATTCTTTTAGCTTGGCCTTCGCAAATTCCTTTCCGTCTTGGATTCTATCTGCATTTCAGTATTGAGATATTGGCATGAACTTTGTTGTGATCATAGAGCCCTGGTCAAGACAGGCCAGGAACGTAAGGAAAATTATTACGTTTCCAATTTCTCTGGTTACTCGGTGGCCACAACATTGCCAGAATCTTTGTGGCTCTCGGAAGAAGTTGCTGCAGTCCGTGTTGTTCCCCCTAGTGATGGTTTCATTTGAAGACAAAACTGTTGGTAGCTGTCATGCTGTCTCGCAGTCCAATTTTGCCTCCAAGCATTTCAGATCTTTTCCCTGATTGATTTGTGGCGTCACAAGTTAACTGGTGGCTGTCCGCTGGGCTTGAGCTACGTGGACCAAACCCCTCCTCCAGAAACCGAACTGGTCAGCGATTTCACCGCAATTCCCCCGAAATTTGAGCTTCTTTCACTTGCAGGGTAACTATACCTCCACGTCAGGGATCTCCCGGAATTTCTTTGCCTATCTGTGTGGCTGCATCTCACCCGTCCAAACTGGACACATCACCGCCAGAAGGCGCGGGTGAAAAACAACCCAATGGAATCTCCATGGCAGGATAAGGTGCTCTCAACCTAGACGAGAGAGGTTCTTCCACTCCCGACCTCTAGTTTCCAGAGTGATGGCCAAATGCTACTCGGAGTGGCCTCCTCTCCCCCCTCTCCATCCACCGAGACGAACACCATCGCAGACCTCGCTTTGGACGATCAGGAGGCAGCTTGCGTCGTTCGTCTTGCACTGCTCCAGGTCGTGTGCTTCCCCTCTTCTTGAGCCCAAGAATTTGCCCGATGAGTTCCATGCTGTGTCTGCCTCGACGCCGGCGCCGGTGCCGGTGTCCCCGCTTCCGGATGCTCCGAAGCTCGGCATATCCAACAAGTTCATCCGGGGCCTCTGCAGCGACCGGCAGACCGAGCAGCTCGCCTTCGAGTGCTACAGGAGGGCTCTGCACCAGCCGGAGTTCCTGCCGGACAAGAAGACGATGAACGCCCTGACCGTGCAGCTGCTCAGGGCTAAGCAGTGGAGCTCGCTGGAGTTCCTGGTTGAAGATTTCAGGGCCTATGGGGTGATGCCGGAGCGGCGGACGTGCGCGCGGCTCGTCGCGAGCTGCGTCAAGGCGAGGAAGTTCGGGCTCGCCGACATGGTGCTCGGGGTCCTCGAAGGCAAGAGGGGTGCACCTGCCGCTGTCGCCTTCAGCTCGGCGATGCAGGCGTACAACAAGCTGCACATGTACCGGAGCACGCTGCTGGTGTACGAGCGGATGAGGGCGGCTCGGTTGTCGCGCGACGCCGACGCCTACCGCGCCGTGATGGCGGCGTGCGGGGCGTTGGGCAAGCCGGAGATGGTGGCTTCACTGCTCAAGCAGTACAAGTCCCACAAATGGTACCCCTCTGAAAGCTGTGTCGAGACATACGCCATCGTCTGCGACGCACTCGGACGAGCAGGTAGAGCCTCGGATGCGCTGAAATGCCTGCGAGAGATGGAAGCAGACGGCATCGCGCCGAATGCCACAATCTACTCTTCGATCATCAGATCTTTGGCAGATGCCCATGAATCTTCTGCAGCAGAAGACCTGTACAACGAAGCATGGAAGAAAGGGAGGCTGGGGGATCCGGACATGTTCCTGAAGGTGATCGTCATGCATGTTGAGGCCGGGAGAGTGGAGAAGATAATGGGAGTTGCCAAGGACATGAGGGAGACTGGTCTGAGGGTCACCGATTGTATCCTATCAACCATTGTCAATGGCTTTGTGAAGAGGAGAGGCCTCAAGCCGGCTATCAGAGCTTATGACAAGCTGATTGCTTTAGGATGTGAGCCTGGCCAGGTCACCTATGCATCAGTCATCAACGTTTACTGCCAGCTTGGGCGGAGCGACAGGGCGGAATCGGTCTTCTCGGAGATGATCGATCGAGGCTTTGACAAGTGTGTGGTTGCATATGGTAACATGATCTCCATGTATGGGAAGATCAGTAGAGCGTCGGACGCGATGAGGCTGCTTGCTGTGATGAAGAAGAAGGGGTGCGAGCCTAATATCTGGGTGTACAACTCCCTCCTGGACATGCACGGAAGACTCGGGAATTCGAGGCAGGCTGAGAAGATCTGGAAGGAGATGATGCGCCGCAAGATTCAGCCTGACAGGATCAGCTACACCGCGATCATCAACGCGTTCAACCGGTCAGGAGAACTGGACCGGTGCATGGATTTGTACCAGGAGTTCAGGGAGACAGGAGGAAAGGTGGACACGGCCCTGGCTGGGCTCATGGTAGGGGTGTTCTCTAAATGCAGCCGATTCAACGAGCTCATCGAGCTTCTGAAGGATATGCAAGGCACACGACTGGACAGGAGGCTGTACCTGACCGTGTTGAGGAGCCTCCGAGACGCCGGGCTGGAGGTCCATGTGAAGTGGCTCCAAACTAATTTCAGTTTCGTGGAAGAGAAAACCTGATGGATCCATGAGTTATCTGTGCTGTTCATCTTCAGCACCGAAGCATCGCGACGATCGGGTATCTGCAAAAACATTGCTCTGTACATCGACAGAAAAAATGGGTAAATATTTGCTTGCCTCAATGCGCTTTGTCGAAACTATATGCTTATGCTGCTGGCTTCCAACCGCCATTGTAAATGTATTCTGGGAGATACACCTTTGTACCAGTAATGATCTGATTACAGATTTATTGGATAAGTTGCATTGCTCAGTAGATCTGCATTTGCCAGATTTATTGAACTCACTTGTAATATAGCCCTCTTCGGCAAATGTAACTTTTGCATCAGTACTGAACTTTGTACATTTCTTCAGCGCTTAACATCTTTTCGAATCTCTGAGATAAGAAGTTGTCGGCGGTGTATATTTTCAGCGATTATGCTCATCTCCTTCTAGATTGATTCACCCACATCTTTCAGCCAAAACATCAGTATATTCTAGACCATCTAGTTTCTTTTGAATCTGTAGTCCGCACAGTTATTGTGGAATGGGCTGTGATCAACAAGAACAAGTAAAAAGAAAAAACAGAAGAAAAACATTCGAAGCCTTCACGCAGCTGGTGATTGGCACAGCAGATCGTCGCAACGACTGCAAACCATTTGACGGTATACCGGTTAACATGCCATGCTGATCGACACTGAACTCCTCATCGGAAGCAGATGGTTGCAAGCCATGGCTAGTACGTCACAGGCGACACGAGCATTCCCTTGTTACTACCCGTGCACGTCGCCGTGTCAAAGCCCAAGCAGCCGCTGTTCGCTGCCGCCAGGAGCACCACATCTTCGCCGACGTCGTCCGCCTCCGTCCACCGCCCATCAGAGCCTAGCCGGAAGACAGCCAGCTACCCGGCGCCGCCGCCGCCGCTCCACGTTGCCAACAGCAGCGGCTCGTGCCCACAACCACCACGGCGCTGGACGAGGCACCGGCCGTCCCACGTGTGCGCCAGGGCGTGGAGCCTGTCCCGGCGCGTGGGCACCTCACGCAGCGGCGAGACGAGGTCGAACACCGCGACGCGCCCGTGGTGGCTGACGAGGTGGAACAAGCCGCTCTGGCACGCCACGTCGACGGCCGCGAAGGCTCCCGCCGGGCACGCGAGGGGCGTCCACGACGCGTCCGTCGGCCTGCAGAACACCGCCTCCTCCTCCGCGCCCAGGGTGACTGACCAAACACAACAAGCCACCCTGCCACCCCAACTCAACGGACGCGAAGCCTCACCCACAGCACGCCAGCGGAACCCACCAACCGTCCCCCGGCCGGCAGAAAACAACCGCCTCCGCGGCCACGACGAGGACAACCAACGGCCACCAGCCGCCGACCACCAACGGCTCCCACCACAGCGCAGCCACGCGCACCTCCCACTGGAACACAGGCCGGCCCAGGCTGCCCAACGCGCACCCCTCCCACCGCTCCCCCGCACCGCACTCCATGAACCGCAGCGCCGCCAACGCCTCCCCCCCCCGCAGAAGGGCCCGGGAGCAGAACCCCCCCCCCCGCGGCCCGTGGAGCACACCCCACGGCGGGCCACCGCTCGAGGACGAGCCAGCCGTGCGACGAGCCACAGCACCGCTTGCCTCTCGTGTCCGGCAGGTCAATCTCGTGCACGGTGCCGTCGGAGGCGTCCAAGAAGCCCCTGACGCAGCTCTCGCTGCATGGGTCGTAGGGGAGCATCAGCCATGGCGGCCTCGACCTTGGGCGCAAGAAAGATCTCCACGACTTGCACACGGCGCGGAGGCGGACGTAGTCCTTGATGCCAGCCGTCCTCTGCGCCACATTGTCCAGGAGATCGTCAGGAAGTTGAGCCCAACCGGAAGCCATTGAAGATTTGAAGCTGACTAGCTGAGCACTGCATTACTTGGTACTGTTGATGTAAGGAACCAGTTCCTTATAAGGAACCAATTCGTGACCGCTGTTTTGTCGAGGACATGATTTAATCTTGAAACAGACACGGTGCTGAGAAAACGTGAAACACCAATTTGGATGGCATGTTAGTGCTGATATTTGTCGTTCGGCTTGTCAAAGACCAGTCGACGGAGTGGCGGCATTTCTTGGTTAGAGGATGCGTGTATATTTGCTCGACCGGCGCTGACTTGGCAGTGGGCTGCTCCCTCTCCCTCCGATAATAGTACGTGTCATTTTAGAAGCTGTGCAGTCAAGTATGAGATAACTTTGATCATAATCTATCTATCTATCTATCTATCTATCTATTTATCTATCTATTATATTATTAAAGGGATAAAAAAAAGAGCATCCACGTTCGCTCTCATGGTCTAGAAATTCTCACATTAATCGGAGAAAAAGAAAAGACAGAATCCATAGAAATACAATTTAGAAATAGCTGAAATTCGGAATTAAAAAATAAGGAATATTAGAAGAGAAGACTAGAGTCCATATAGAAATACAATTTAGAAATAGCTGAAATTCGGAATTAAAAAATAAGGAATATTAGAAGTAGAGTATAGAGTCCATATAGAAATACAATTAGGAAATAATAGAAATTCGGAATTAAAAAATAAGGAATATTAGAAGAGAAGACTAGAGTCCATATAAAAATACAATTAGGAAATAACTGAAATTCAGAATTAAAAATAAGGAATATTAGAAGTAGAGTATAGAGTCCATATAATACAATTAGGAAATAATAGAAATTCGAAATTAAAAAATAAGGAATATTAGAACAGGAGACTAGAGTCCATATAGAAATACAATTAGGAAATAATAGAAATTAAGAATTAAAAATAAAGAATATTATAAGTAGAGTATATAGTCCATATAGGAATTTAAAACTAACTAAAATTCGGAATAAAAAAGAGCCTCCACGTTCGCTCTCATGACCTTGAAATTCTCACATTAATTGGAGAAAAATAAAAAGCAGAGTCCATATAGAAATAGAATTTAGAAATAGCTGAAATTCGGAATTAAAAAATAAGGAATATTAGAAGAGGAGACTAGAGTCCATATAGAAATACAATTAGGAAATAACTGAAATTCAGAATTAAAAATAAGGAATATTAGAAGTAGAGTACACAGGACATATAGAAATACAATTAAGAAAAAAAATAGAAATTCGGAATTAAAAAATAAGGAATATTAGAGGTAGAGTATAGAGTCCATATAAAAATTTAAAACTAACTAAAATTTGGAATAAACATAATAAAATGAAAGGTAGTGTTTAGAGTCCGTATAAAAATACAATTTACAAATAACTAAAATTCAAAATTAAGAAAAACATGACAAGAAGAGTTTAAAGTCAATATAGGAATACAATTTAGAAGTAACTGAAATTCAGAATTAAAAATTAAAGAATATTGAAAGATGAGTTTAGAGTCCACATAGAAATACAATTAGAAATAATAAAAATTTAGAATTAAAAAAAGAAATATTAACAGACGAGTCAAGAGTCCATATAGGAATATATATAATTTACAAATAACTAAAATTTGATATTAAAAATAATTAATAACTAACACGTATATAAAATACAATATGAATATTACACATTAGTAGTTTTGTAAAGTTATTGCAAAATTTAAAATTATGTTGTCATTGTAATATATTTTAATAATATAATGAGAAAATATATATGCTATTATATGAGAGAAAATATAATAATGCTAGCCGCGCAATCTGCGCGGGCCACCATGCTAGTTATATTATTAAAACAGGCTTGAAAGGAGACAACACATTCGCTGTGGGGGCTAGAAATTCCCACATTAATCGAAGAAAAAGAAAAGAATTGGACCGTCTGATCACGGTGGGTCTAGATTATAACGGTGGAGATTAATACAACAAATATATAGAATAATAGAAGTACAATTGGTTTTCCATAGATAGATGAAGAGTTAGTATAGAAAAACAGATGATATGTAATTTTGATTAGAATCGGATTTAATTTTTAGATACTATTAAAACAAAGTCGTAGCAGAGTTGGATTAGAGGCAGATATGGCTGCCGTACGTGTGTGAGTCGAGATTTCGCCTAAACCGAGTGGAATAATGATTACCCCTGGTCTCATGTATGCACACACAACAAACAAACAGTGGTGCATCAAGCTAAGCTAGCATGCTATTGGCCCATACATGCATGCTTATCTAACTTTGCCATTAAAATTAAAATCGGATCCACTAACTGAAATCTCTCAACTCCTGTAAATTAGCCTCTCATCTACAAATATAAGCAACATTCCCTCCATATTAAAATATACGAAACATTATTAATTTTATTCCAACATTATTCTTTATAGGTATTTTAAATATTACAATTTTGTTATATATTAATATTATATTCTATAATAGAAATAGTGGTAAAAGTGGTACGCTATAGGCAAAAAAAAAAGAAAATATGTAGTGCAAACCACACATGTAATGAAAAAAATTACCGTTGGATGTAAAAATACCCATATTAATCTAAGAAAAAAAAAAGAGGATACGTACGAATATAATTTAGAAATAACTAAATCTCGAAATTAAAAATAATCAATATTGAAAGAAGACTCCATATAAGAACCCAATACTAGATTAATTAAAATTTGGTAATAAAATAAAATAAAATCTAAAATTAGAAACAAATAAAAGAAGAGTCCAAGTAGAAATACAATTTAAAAATAACTGAAACTAGGAATTAAAAATAAGCAATATTGAAAGAAAAGTTCATATAAGAACACAATACGAGATCAATTAAAATACAGAACAAAAAAATAAAAGAAATCCAAAATTATAGTTTATATAGAACCCAATACAGGATAAATTAAAATTAGAAAAAAAAATAATCCAACATTAGAAAATAAAAGAAAAGAAGAGTTTAAGTAGGAATACGATTTAAAAATAACTGAAATTTGGAATTAAAAATAAGCAATATTGAGAGAAAAGTTCATATATGAACACAATACGATCAATTAAAATTTGGAATAAAAAAGGAAAATCCAAAATTATAAAATAAAAATGAGAGTTAATACCATTTTGAAACAATTAAAATTGGAAAAAAATAAGGAATATTAAAAGAATAGTTCATATAGAACACAATACGAGACTAATTATAATTTGAAATAAAAATAAATTATGAAATTAGAAAAAGAAAAATAAGAGTTCAACTAGGAATACAATTTATAAATAACTAAAATTCGTAATAAAAAATAAAAACTGTTGAAGAAGAGACCATCTTGAAAATATAACGGATTAATTAAAATTCCAAATAAAAATAAAATAAATTCTAAAAATGTAAAAGTAATTATAGGTGTTCAAGTACGAATATAATTTATAAATAAAAATATCAGAATGAAAAATTTGGGATTTTCAAAAAAAAAATCATCTAGCCCACAGATGACAAATGATAATAAAGATGGGAGAACAATAGGGCTGTAAGTCAGTAGAGTGGTGACGGTTAATAGGAAATCAAAAAACTATTAACAAAACCTCAAAATAGAATCCTAATGACGATTAAAATGACGTCCGATAGGCAGGCCGTTAAGTAACATGGTCATGACGGTTGGTAGGACTTCTGAATAGTAAAAAATAAACTCCAACGATAATAATGTTTGATTTTAAAGTCTCAATGACAGTAATGAGGGGAGGCAACGGGCAAGCCGTAAAGGAATAAAGTGAAAAAGCCGCTGATGATTTAGTGGGACTTTTATAAAGTAAAAAATGAACCCAAACGATAATTATGATCGAATTTTAAAATCACAATGACAATAAGGAGAGGCAGCAGACGGATTGTAGGGGAGTACAGTGGCAGGGTTTGATGAGACTTCTAAAAATTACAAAAATGAAATCCAATGAGACAATAAACTCTGAAAACTACATGATTCAATTTTTAAAGGTTCCGAGAATGAAAAGAAATAGTAGTAGATCGAGCAAGCAAAAAAAGAAGAGGGTGACAGAAGTAAGAGGTAGCAACTGGTGTGACTTATAAAAACTCTAAAATTAGAAACACTGGGATGATAAGGTTTTGGTATTTTCAAAGTCTTAAGACAACGAGATAGCTATTTAATAAATGTTAAGTAAAATCATATTAAAGTTAGATAATTATGTATGCAATTGCGTGGAAAGTAAGAAAAAACCAATAATAATCATGTTCGATTTAAAAATCTCTATGACAATAGAGGGGAGCCAGCGGGCAAGCCAGAGAGGAGTACAGTAGCACAGGCGCTGGCAACCGAAACATGTAATTATATTCGATTTTTAAAATCGCAATGACAACAAAGAGAGGAGGCAACGGACTGGCCGTAGAGGAGTATAGTGCCAGTGTTTGACGAGACTTATAAAAATTATAAAAATGAAACCCAATGGGACAATAAACTCTAAAAACTGTAAGGTCTAAATTTTAAAGGTTCCAAGAAGAATAAATAGAAACAGTAGTAAATTGAGCAAGAAAAAAAAAGAAGGGGGTAGAGGTAGCAACTGATGTGGCTTTTAAACTATAAAATTAGAAACACGGGGATAATAAGGTTTGGTCTTCCAAAATCTTAAGACAACGAGATAACTATTTAATAAATTTTAAGTAAAACCATATTAAAATAGATAATTATGTACGGATGCTAGCCGCGCAATTGTGCGGGCCATCCAGCTAGTTTTTATTTATAATATGGTTTATTGGGCACATAAATATGTTGTTACGAGAGTTTTCATAATAGTATTACAGACTACTCTCTCCATTTCAGGTTAAAGACGTTTTGATTTTGGTAAATGTCAAACTACTCTAGATTTGACTAATTCTATATAAAAAATAGTAATATTTACAACACTAGCATAATTTCATTAATTAAATCTATAATTAAATAAATTTTCATAATATATTTGTCTTGGGTTAGTATTACAGACTACTTCCTCCGTTTCAGGTTATAAGACGTTTAGACTTTGACCAAAGTTAAAAAACTCTAGGTTGGACTAATTCTATAGAAAAAAATAGTAATATTTACAACACTAGCATAATTTCATTAATTAAATCTACATATAAGTAGTAATATTTTTAACCCAAGACAAATATATATATTTGGGAACCCAAGACAAATATATTATGAAAATTTATTCAATTGTAGATTTAATTAATGAAATTATGCTAGTGTTGTAAATATTACTATTTTTCTCTATATAATTAGTCAAACCTACAGTAGTTTGATTTTGACCAAAGTCAAAATGTATTACAACCTAAGACGGAGGGAGCAATAGTTATACAGCTTTTTTTTTTTCATTTATGCAAAAGAATTGAGTAGTCGGAGTTTGTGACAAGAGGTAAAGCTTGAGCAGACTTTGCTCTGAACTTGCAGTGGAACAATGAATTGTGCTGATGATTGAAAGTTCAAACCAAAATACAGAAGTTCAGACATGCAGCTGTGAAAAGAGAAAGAGAGAGAGAGAGAGAGAGAGAGAGAGAGAGAGAGAGAGAGAGAGAATGGTACACGTGAATCCTGATAGCAGCTAGCGAGAAAATGGAAAATTGATATAGTCAGCGAAGGCGTGAACTCAACTAGAGTCCATACAAAATCAAAACGTTTTTTTGCTAAAAAAACGCAGGCAACCAAAACAGCAATAAGAAGCAAAACTCAACGGGCATCTGATAAGTGTCGGACATTTTGTGGGAAATGGGGATACATCAAGTGACTATCTATTACACATTGACCAAAAACATCAACTTGTATTACATAAAAACTTGGGTGTTCAATTGTTTTAAGATACATGCAAATCACTCCAAACCCTTTTTTTTATTATTTTTTCTTTCCTCCCCACCACAGCACGAGGCGCTCAACATGATGACTCGACCCCGCCTCTCGTCTTGTCCATTTTTTCAGCGGCAAAGCCACCGCCAGTCGCCGCCTCCTAACCACAAGTTTACTTTGCACTTGACACTAATGGAGTAATAGCAGCCCGTGGCCCCTTCTCCATCAATGTGGCTTTGGCAACGCTGTTCACGCCTTGCCGTGCACTCACATCCCCCACCACGGGGGCCCCTATCTTCTATAACCATCCCTATAAGGGTTTAAAGCACGAATTACGAAGTACATGCGGTGATCCAAAACCTGTAAGATTTAAAGATGGATTTTTCATCGATGGAACGTAGCAATTCCGTGTCAATATACTCTTCATAAATCTAACAACGATGAACATAGTGAACAAAAAATTTCCTTTCGTCCCACATAACACAGATTTGTCAGGCTGATCTTGCTGTGTTATTTTTTCACACGATATTTAGCAGCTGCGGCCACTATTCGAGACATTTTCACCCCAAATCTCTCTAAAAGTCTTGAAATATTTACATAGCCCATGGGGCAAAGGAACATCGTCCATTTCACAACATTTCCTTGGTCATTTTCACTTCAAAACTGTAATTACAACCGTGTCACCTACTACTAGTACTGCTTAGTGCTTATGATGATGATGCTTGACATGAGTGCGTACACGAACCTCGCGGGCAAATCTCCTAAGCAAATAACAGAGCTTGCCCGGGCATCCCTTCCGGCCTCGGCGAGATCGCCGCCGTCGCCGGCGAACGCGTCCTCCTGCTCGCGCCGAGCACGGACAGCTGTCCTCCCTTGGACACCTTCTTGAAGGACGCGGCGCTGGCATTGCCGCAGAGCGGCCGCGGCGAGAGGCGGCCACGCCGGTGCGCGTCCCGCAGCCCGAGCCCGACCTCCGCAGCTGCGCGACGTCTTGAGGCGCTTCCTCATCGGCTTCGCCATGTCCTCCAGGCCGCCCACCGCCGCCAGCGACGCGAACGACTGCGACTTGCCGTCGAAGAACTTGGAGAGCCCCCTCCTGCAACACAAACGGAGCAAGCACGCACGCCGATCAGATCACCAAAGCCCAAAAGTTGAAACCTCTCGAGCAGCAGCAGCAAGATCCAGATGAAAGGGGGAGGGTGGGTGCAGGCACACGCACTTGAGCGGGAGCTCCGTCATGAGCGAGGACATCTCGAAGTGGCCCGCCGCCGACGATGACGACCCCGACGAGCTCGCGTCGTCGGCGAGCTCCATCCCCTCCGACGACGACGAGAGCGACAGCTCCGACTCAGACGGGCACCCGATGTCCTCCTCCTGCTCGTCGCACCTGATCATCCCTTCCCTCCGGGAGAACAACATGTACGCTTCCATTCCCGCACACGGATGACACTAACGAACGCACGGACCAACGATGATCGACGATACGCAGCAATGAAAAATGGCGTGAGGCGAGATGGGAAGAGGAGGTGGAGGACGCGAACTATAAAGGTAACGGAAGTAGGAGGATAAGAATGACGACGAGGGCTACTCGGGCTCGAGCAGAGAGAGGAAGGAAAGGAAAGGAAAGCGCGCGAGATGGGATAAAGAAGCCGTCAGCTCGTGGAAGAAAAATATAAAAATTCGGTGTGATTATCCGTCTCGTCGTCGGATCGGTCACCATTCTGATCTCCTGTGACTCTGTCCTTCTCGCTGCTCTTTTTTTTCTTCTTTTCCTTCTTGTCTCATGGGGAGTGGAGTGGGGTCACACTGGGTTGAGGAAGAGATAAGGCTTCCACATGGTTTCCTTGCACGGCTTCGCGTGGCACTCTGTTCCTGACTTCCATCCCTCAAAAGCGTACCGACCAGCCGAACACATCCGGTGGAGCCCGGATGGCATCTGCTTGCAGTTCCAGCAGTGGACCTGGACAATAAATACTTTTCTTTATATGTGACAAGTAGATCTAATGTTTCATTATCAAATATTGTACTCCGTACGATCAAGAGATTGGGTTGAATAACCCTATGTTTGTTTTCGTTTTAGAATCAACCGTGAAATTTGCTTAGGCAATGTTGCGTGGTTGCAGGAGCATCGCTTGCTTTTTAATTAACATATATTACTCACGCCCTCCGTATACCAAAATAACATTAGGGAAATGGGGCCTGATCAGCATATGGAGGTCAACACCGATAAGTAACTATATTTTCATCAGAGCATATGGAGGTCAATACCCAAGTCGGCAGCAGAAAACATGTTTAAAAGGGTATTATGCCTGCCAGATCAGCATAGCGTGTCAAGAGCCAGCGGCACGATGAGATGTTCTCTCCGCGGCTGAAAATTGCCCCCTTGTCCATATCGAACTCGAGAGTCACAGGCTGATGATGTGGCCCTCTGAGTGGTTCATGGTCACCTACTACCGGCCATTAATTAATTTGATAATGTGAGATTTAAGACACTTCAGTACTTGACAAACATAAACCAACTTTTGTACACGTCCAAATTAGTGTATACAAGTTAACTTATTTTAGGATGGAGTTTATTTCGGATTCGTATGTATAAGTTGATTTATTTTGACACGGAGTATCAACGGAGCATGACACAACACTATTTAATTTCTGTATAAATTTTAATAGCGTTGTAATATAGAAATTACACGTTCGTTAAAAAAAATAAGGGACTGTCTATACTGTGTCTATACTGCAGTCGCATGTTTTTTGTGTCCTATTTCAGTCAGATTTCTGTACCACACGATTTACATCTAACAACTCACAAAAACTGCTACAATAACATATTATAAAAGTCTAGATTTATTTTTTTGAGACCAATACAGGCCAAAAAAGCCCATCTATCTTAAAAACAAATTGACAAGCCCAAAATAAAGTCTAAAAAAGGTCCCTAGAAAAACAGAGACAAAGGCACGTGATCAAACATAGCCCACAAAACAAACATATTTAGAAAGCTTGCAATCCAAGTTGATGGGCATGTGATGACAGCTAACTATTACAGATCACAACTAGGACCACCTCTTTCCAAAGAGATCACACAACACACGCCGCAACAATCTAGATTATACTAGGGAGATGGAGCTAGAGGAAGAGAAAGATCCCCCAAAACATCAATCCAAAATCAAGATGAATTCAGCAGAGATTAAGAAGAGAAAGATAGGCTTAGGAAAAGATCAAGGTTCAGAAAAGAAGGAAATGTCAGGAAAGAATATCAAATCTATCAAAGAAACTGGTACTAAAGGTCAATCCAAAGAACTCCAAAAAAAAGAATCGAAGAGCAGAAAGAGCACAAAAGACAAGTCCAAGAAGAACAAAGGTGAGTGAACAGAAAAATTCTCCAAATATTACCTGCTTGGTTCTTTTCAGAATTTGATTCTTCTTTTGGAATTTGTTTGATCAGATCTGTAAAGAAAAGTTAATGAGGTTAGAAATGTAGAAACTGATTAGATCTAAAAAAAATGAATTTGTTCTAATATGAACTAAATAGAGTCAATCTGAAAGTAAATCTGACCACTGTAAGTAAATTGGGCAAATCACTGTAACTGTCATTTTAGAACTGGGCAAATCACTAAAATTTTCAGAATGGTGAATAGTGTGAATCTGTTCTAATATGAACTCATATAGTCAATCTAAATGTACTGTCAATGATTGTGCAGATATGACTCAAGTTCCAACAAATGCAGAAGAATTTCACAAGGAATACACCACCAAAGTGATCAGAAAAGAATCAAGAACAGGTATAAATTATTTTCTTGCCTGATGAGAAGCAAAATTAAGATTTGCTTACATTATTTTCAGTCATTTAACAATTTTCAAACAAGTTACAGTGAAAGAATAATAAAAAATACATACAAAAGAACACTGTAATTTTAGTTCAATATGCATGTAACTGCAGGAAACACCGTACAAATTCTAACAAAAGCATGATCTAAGGCAGTTTTATTTTCAAATTGAAATGGTTTCAGATTCATCAAGCATAGAACAAGTCATCGGTACTTCAAGCATACAGGAAATGGAGACAAATGAACAAGTAAAATCAAAAGACACTTCCAAAGGTATGTATTCTTCATACTTGACTTTTATTTTTGTTTCATTTCAAATATTTCAGAAATCACCAATTATCATAGAGTGAAATTGTGTATTTGCATGATAGCAGTATATTCAAAAGAGCACATAATGGTCTTAATTTTCACATATTTGTCTACAAATCAATATACAAACTAGTTACAGTCAAATATTTATAAAATTACATAGAGGGAACACTGTAAATTTAGTTCAACAAACATGTAACTTCTAGAAGCAGTACATATTTCATATCAAATCAACAACTAAAAGCAAATTTTATTACTATTCATTACAACATTATAAGGACTATACAACAAATCTAAAAAAAAAGTAATTCAAAGCAAAAATGAAATGTCTAGTATTGACTAAAACGTAACGTCAATGATTGTGCAGATATGACTCAAGTTCCAGCAAATGCAGAAGGAATTCGCAAGGAATACACCACCAAAGTGAATAGACAAGAATCAAGAACAGGTATAAATTATTTTCTTGCCTGGTGAGAAGCAAAATTAAGATTTGCTTACATTATTTTCAGTCATTTAACAATTTTCAAACAAGTTACAGTGAAAGAATAATAAAAATATATACAAAAGAACACTGTAATTTTAGTTCAACATGCATGTAAATACAGGGAACTTTAAATCTAAGGCAGTTTTATTTTCAAATTGACATTGTTTCAGATTCATCAAGCACATAACAGGTTATTAGTACTCCAAGCATAGAAGAAATGCAGAAAGAAAAATAAGCAAAAAACTAAGCTGAAACACTTCAGCTGAATCTAATAAAAAACAAAAACACTAAGCTGTACAATGGTACTGAATTCAATTCAAAAACTATTTAATTTCACAATTAAAAATTGGTGCTGAAATCAGCAAATTGAAACAAATTACAGTTAAATAGTAATAAAATTACATATAAAAATAAATGTAATTCTAGTATTAGTTCACTGTAATTTATAATCTTGTGTTTTAAACCTTCTGTTTTTTTGCAGGAAACAAAGATAATGGACAATCAGGGAGAAGCATTTCTTTAAACACAAAAAAAGGTATACAAAAACAAAAAAAAATATCATATATATGGCCTCAGAAATTGTCCACTTCAATTAGTACAAAAAAATGGACATTTCTTAGTATTAGACTATAATTCTTTTCAATATTCACATAGGCAAAATTTTTATCAATTTTGCAAGCTCAAAAGAATTAGTTAGCTATAGATTGTCAAGCACCTTTTTACATGCACCATTCTCAAAAACTAGTATATAATTATTGCACTTCAAATTAGCATATATAAAAACAAAAAGAAGCTAGTACACTAGATTATTTTGCTTTACAGATGTTAATTTGAAGTACAAGGATGATGGACTAATTTTGGGAAAAGCAAAGGTAAAAAGGTGCTTGACAAGTGAAGGCAAAAATTTCGCCTATGATGATGAGAAGATTTTCTTTATTATTGGTGCTCTTAGACAAGTAAACAAACAACACAGAGGACAATAGAAAAAAATTGATATTTAATATAAAGATAAATTTCAGAGTTGGCAAAAAAGATATTTTCGCTGAAACTAATACTAAATAGAGATTCATCACTGGCCTAAAACTTTAAAATACAAGCACAAATCAATGCTTCTCCCTTCAAAATAAAATTACATATAAAAATGACTATAATTCTAGTATTAGTTCACTGCAAATTATATTCTTGTGTTTTAAACCTTCTGTTTTTTTGCAGGAAACAAAGATAATGGACAAGCAGGGAGAAGCATTTCTATGGATACAGAGATTATAGGTGAATTTTAATTTGAATATTTGTTACATCTAGATATTCTCCAAATATCATAGTGAAATAACTTATTATATTTTTAATTTCTATGAAGCAGGAAGAAGCATTTCTTTGGATACAGGTACTATTACCACTTTGAATTATATCTTTCTTTCTTTGGATATATCTATATATGTCAAATTTAATTACTGATGTACTGATTTGAATTATATTACAAATTATGTTCTGCAGGAAACAAAGATAACAAAGATGCAGAAAGAAGCATTCACCCTGGAAACATTCAGAATATGACTCAATTAGTTTTGACAGAACATAACGCAAATACATTGATTTTAGGTAAGAAACATAATTAGTTTTAAATATAATCTGCAAAGATCACATTTAGACAAAACATCATAGTTAAAATAAAATTTAGCTGGTTTGAATCATATATTGTCAAAATATCTGTCAAAAATAGATAATTAGTGATTTCATGATGACATAAACAATTTCATTTACAAATAAAAATGCAGACACTCATTAACTATGTAGATATTATAATTTTCAAACAAGTTACAGTGAAATAAAATTAAAATTACAGTTAAGAAACACTGTAATTCCAATATTAGTTCACTGTAACTAATGAAAAAAATTAACACTTTAGTTAAAAAAATATCACAGAGTGATATTGTGTATTTGCACAGTCTTAATGGTCTTAATATTCAGATATATGTCTAGTAATCAACATAAAAACAAATTACAGTCCAAAA